CCCAGGGTCCTGGGATTGAGCCCCGCAGAGCCAGGAAGCCTGCTTCTCCCTCTCCTTCTCCCCCTGCTCATGCTCTCTCTCTCTCTCTCTCTGTATCTGTGTCTCGAATGAATAAATTAAAAAATCTTAAAAAATAAAAAAACAGCTAGCATTTATTAAGCACAAACCAATGACCTTCTAGACACGGAGCTTGCCAGACTTTATCTCATTTGATCTTCACAGTAGCCCCCTGGTGTAGGCACTTTGATCCACTTCTCGTAGATGAGAACTATGCTCTAAGTTCAAGGTCACAGAGTTAGTCAGGAGCAGAATCAGAATTGTCTGATACCCCTCATTTCAGTACTTGATTTTACTTCTTAAACTTCTTTCCTCCTTCAGCTACTAAAAAGCTATTCTCTGCTCATTTTCCTCCTGCCTCTTTCACTCTCTACTTCTCATTCTTCACTGCTCCCTATTTCTCACCCAACTGTTACATATTGGGATTTCCCTAGGCTTCTATCCTCCCCCTTACTCATTGTACCTGCCCTGGAAGGCATATCAACTTCCTTTTTTTTTTTTTTTCCAAACACCCATGTACTAAAAACTACTAAATCAGTGAGTCCATCCATCTATTCATCCATTTTTCCACCTACCTATCCATTCATCCATTTATCTACCTTATTTATCCAGCTAAGACCTCTCTACTCAGAACTTCTGTGTAATGATCCATTGGATACTCCTCTTCAGTTGGATTTTCTGTAGGTACTTCATACTCTTTAAAACTGAACTCTGTCATCCTTGCTCCTCCAACCTGCATCTCCTCACATGTCACCCGCCGTGTAATCACTCACCTGATCCTAGAGATTCTCCTACCTTAACATCTATGTGACCAAACCCTTTTCTTCATCTCACTGTTACCACTACGGTACAAGGTCCTCAACAAGATCACTCCAATACCCTCTAAACCGCTGTTTCTGTCTCACATTCCTCAGATCCATCCTTCTAGATGGCTGTGAGAGCTATCTTCGCATCAGATCACTCCTTTGTTTGAACAGAAAATGGTCCATATTCCTTATGATGGCAAACAGCCTCCCCTGACCTTGCCTGTGCCTATACTGACCGTAATGTCATCTTCTCTATGAGGCCTCTCTAGTCTTCTGATCACTTCCAAATGCCTGTTCAGGGTCCTCTGCATAGCTTTATCACAACACTCAGAGACCCTACAGCATTATGTTGCACTTACTGAAACTAGTTTGTTTTCAATCTATCTAACCTCTTAAACCCAGGGGCTTCTGTGTCCGTATACCCCAGAGCACAAGAACATATTATGCTTTTATTTTTTTTTTTAAGATTTTTATTTATTTGACAGAGAGAGAGACAACGAGAGAGGGAACACAAGCAGGGGGAGTGGGAGAGGGAGAAGCAGGCTTCCCGTGGAGCAGAGAGCCCGATGCGGGGCTCGATCCCAGGACCCTGGGATCATGACCTGAGCCGAAGGCAGCCACTTAACCGACTGAGCCACCTAGGTGCCCCCATATTATGCTTTTAATAAATATTTGCTGAATAAAAGAATGAATGCTTGTGAAATGCTTTAGGTTAAGAAGATGTTGATTACTACTGTTCTCCAAGACTAAATTAAACTAATTTATTCAAACTAATTTGATTATGTAGCTCCTCCATAGGTAGGTATGCAAAATAATACTGAGATGACTGCCCTCGCTTCAAGTATGGTGATCAAGATTATCAAAACACACTTTTTATTCCGGAGTAGGAAAATATGACCAACATTACATAAGGCTAGCTGGTATAGAAGGTGGTATAGAAAACATCACTGTATACATATTCCCAAACAAAGGCAATCTGGGCCTACCGTAAGAAAAGTAAACTTTTTTTAAGGGCTACTGCAATTTCTCAGAAAAGCAAAGACTTTTCAGAAGACTGAACTGTCTGACATTAAGACACCCTTCCAAAGATCTCATACACAAAATATTCTGTAAAACAACAACGACATTAAAACCATTTACAGAGAGGCCATCCTAATCCCACTAGGAACCTCAGCCATATAGCTTACAATCCATTCCAGAAATAAAGCATGAGGACAGCAAGTGCCTGTCACAAAGCCCACAGGCTTTATAGTCAGGCAAGAGCCCACATCATTTCACAGAAAAAAAAGACAACAGATAATATAGCAGCAGGACTCGCTCACAGCCAGACAGCAGTAGAAAGTGACAGCCGATATCAGAAAGAGGACCCAGAAAAACCATAAAAAAGAAGAATAGTACTTCTGTCTCCAATCTAGTATTTCAACAGGGTCGACTGAGACCATTTACTATAAACAAAAACAGCTCTATACACCTCAACGAATAGCACTGTTCAATTCTTTATGAATTCATGCTCATAAAGACAAGCCAACAAAAAAATTAACTTAAATCCAGGGGAGCAAGTAAGAGTGCAGGATTTAGAAATTATTTGTTTCATAGCTGAATTTTTAAGTTTCAGTAATTAATAGATCATGGGAGGGGTCAGCTATGAAGAAAATGCACTTATGTAAATAGGTAAAACCCAGATAGTATCAATATCAATAAAAGGAGTATTATTATATATTACAAAAACAATTAAAAGTTCTTATTCTCCTGGCATATTCTGAAAATCTAGTTGAATTTTAAACAGCAGCAACTCAACATTACTTGATAAATAAATAAATATATAAATAACTTTGAAAAGGAGTTTGAGAATTGGGAATGTGATTATTTTCTTCCTTTGTCATCAATGGTGGTAATTAAGCTGATACGGTATCATGAAACGTTTTAAGTAATTTAAATTAAATGTTACTGTCAAACTCTTTACACACAAAAAATAGATTTTATAAGAGATCGATTTTGTTGTAAATATCTTTACTTATTGCACTGGTTTACTTATCCTAATAAGTGCACCAAGTATTAATAAAGCAAGCATAAAGCTCTGAAAATTACAGATTTAAAGAGTTTGAATCTCTACAGTAGTATTACCCAGAAAAAGTCAGAAGTATTGTTTCTACTCAGTTATGCCCAGCTACTAAAACACTATTAAGCTTTTACCAAATGTCAAGGCATCACACTTCACTGTAGTTTTTAAACAGCCCTGTGGCACTAAATCACACACTAGATGTCACCTTTATCTTCTGGGTGACAGGCAAATCAAATCATAGTAGAGTATTTCCCTCTGGAATTATCTAGAACAGTTGCTGAACAGAGTTACATTCCTAAAGCAAAACCTCAAACTAACTACCAGGAGATGGTTTTTACAAGAAAACTAAATCCACTGTTTCCCTCTCTGGGACTGGAAAAAAACAAAAAACAAAACACAACACATGCTGATTTTTGATTTAACTTAGTTAAATTCTGGAATCCCTTATCATATAACATTGAAATGCATGACTCTCCAATTATTTTAAAAATCTCCAGAGACTAAAGTGTGATTAATCCTAATATGATTAGAATACCAATTAAAAAGGACTTTCTATCCTTCCTTCAAACGGCAGTCATTTTTTTCCCCCTGAGGATATAAAGCACAGCAAATTCTGAGTGGAGACCTTTTTAGGGACATGAAATTATCCGAAGAAACCACAGCACACTTGGCATATAGCCAAACAGCCACACCTTTGGGCTATTAATCTTGAAAAATTCAATATTCAAGGTGACAGCCTGAGGGGGCTGTTTTTAGTGTTTTCATTTGTTTGATTTTTTCTGGGTGGAACCCACCTGAAATAAAAGGCTATCTCTATTACTAACACGGACTCATAGTAGAGGTGACTCCGGGTCACTCCTGCTTGAGAACACCGCCCACCACCCGTCCTCTAGTGATACGCCCTCTCCTTCTTAAGAATGGCTATTTAATGTGATCTAGCCTTCCAATGAGTTAGTCTGCGGGACTCTCCGAAGTTCTCCCACCTTCTTCCCCTCCCCAGCGCCCCGGGATGCTTTAAGGTGACGGGAACCAGCGGTACAGGTACAGGTACAGAGGCGGTTCTTTCCCTAAGGAAGCGCTGGAGAGTAGTACATTCACCGTACTCAACTTTATCAACCTAAAATTAAACCAGTGAGTTTACATATACAGTTTGGGTACGCCCCTCCCCACCTCTGCCCGTCCTTTCGCCCCGTCTCACTGCACATACTTGCGCCTTCCAACGCCGTTCGCCTCCTACGACGCCGTTCGCCTCCTACAACCCCGAATCACGCACCCCAGGACCCCTCGCCGCTCCTCCAGCCCGTGGAAGGCGCCCTACTTCCTGCAGCACGTCTTTCTCGCAACTCCTCTCTAACCTCCGCAGCCCGCACACACGCTTCTCTAATGCAAGGGCACGCCGCATAGTTCTCTCAACAGCGTGTGAACCCGCGCGCGACCCTGTCACCACTATACATTCCTGGGGGGTCGCGCGGGCCTGTGGGCTCCGGCAGATGCTCAAAGGTCCCAAGAGAATAGAGGTGGGAGTGTGTGTGTGTGTGCACGCTCGCAGCCCCACGACACTCCCCACCCCCAACACACCCAGTTCCCCTTTAGGGAGAGGACGAAGTAGACTATTAGGAGAGGTCCGAAACTTCCTGCTCCCCCATCCTTGCCGGCAGCGGGCTCCGGCCCTGGGGCTCCCCGATGCCCATCCCTCCAGGGTCAAGTGCAAGGTCCTCCGCCAGATCCGCGCACGGTTATCCCCTCCCCTCTAGAGTTCGGCACGCAGGAACTCAAAAAGACCCTCAAACGGGTGCCATATGGGAGAAGAGAGGAGTACGGGAGCTATCGGGGGGCAGCTGAGAAAGATCTCCTTCACCGTTCCTCAACCTTAACCTTTCTCCCTACCCCCCACCCGCACTCCCCATTCCCTATCACGCTCAGCCCAACCCCATCTGCCCTTTCCGATCCCAGCCCCCAGCCCCTGGATCGCAGCCATTCGCCCAGCACTCACCTCTGGGAGCAAACAACGCCCACCTCCTCCTTCCAGCCCGCCCCCCTTCCGCCCCCTGGAACGCCGCGGTCCCTCTACTTACCTCGGCTCTTGGCTGCTGCGCGTGAGTTTGAATGTGTCTCTGCCGCGTAATTGTATCCGGGGACAGAAGGGACCCGTGTTTGTGCGCTGGATCAGGTGTCGCCGCCTTCGGTGGTTTGGGGGCGTGAGGGCTGTAGAGTTAGTGTGTTAGCTTAGGACGGACTCACTGGGCTCACAATTGATGGCAAAGCTTTAACGGTGCCCTCCTTCGGGTCCGGAGCGCGCCTGCTCCTCCGCTGCTTCCCGCGGCTGGCCGGGCCCCCACAAGCCGCGCCCCGCCCAGCGCACCGCTAGAAGAGCAGGAGCGCGCCCCTCTCCTCCCGCGTCCGGCTCGGCCCGGCACGACGCGGATGCCACGCGCTCAGCCTCGCATCACACGCCTGGGTCTGCGAACGCCTTCTCCCTTGGCCCGGGCATGGATGCGGACGCGCCTTCGTGCGACGCGCTCGCGGGCTGGGCGAGGGGCAGGTCCTGGGACAGGGATGCTCGCCCGTGGAGCGGCGGTCGCCTGACAGGCTGGGACGCTCGGGAGCCCTCCGGTCGCACCCGAGCTGGGAACCCTGGGAATGGCACGTGGCCCCGCCCCCTGTTCCCCCTACGAGGCGTGCCCTGTGCCCTTTCTGCCACCACCCCTCTGGTCCCCGTGCCCGCCTTCCCCCCCCGCCCCATCACGGTATTGCAGTCGGAATCAGCGTGGTGGTAGCGTTCCTTCTCTCACCTTCCCAGCCTCTTAGCCTACTGCGCTCCTCTGGAACCTATTAAAAAGTTGAACTTGGGCAAGGGGGTAGAGGAGATACGCGAAAGAAAGCGGGGGTGGGGGGGGTGGGTTAGGTGTTCAGGCACCTGCCTCGTGAATCCTAAAGCGTTAAAACAAAACAACCACCACCACAAAAACTCGAGTTTGGGGGTCCCGGAAAAAGTAATTTGGGTTGCTGGGCTCAGTAACATCCCTCCTCGCAGGCTCATGCTGAAAGGGCCATTTATGCTTTGCTTGGTTGAGTCTGTGGCGACTTTATCCTTACTAATCTGTGTTTGCCAGCAGTAGATCCTTGCCAAGTTGGCGTTCCGGCCAGGAAGCAACTTTGCGAAGCCAGGCCTGCTGGAGCAGCCTTCTTGTGGCGCCTCAGACCTGAGAGGCCAAGCGCCTTTAAGAGTCTGAGGGTAGATTGTGAGCTTCCTGGGAACCAGGAAAACCTAATAGCGTTGTTCGATTTTCTCTAAGCCCGATCGGCATTGTATTCAATAAATACATATACGACGTGAGCAGAATTGTTTATGTTACAACTTTCAGAAGAGCGAAAATCATGTCGGGCATAAACTCCAGAAGCTATAATGTCTCCAGTGCGCACACACGTTATACGTTTAAACACTGGAAATCAAAAAATACGCCAAGTCAGGCCATTCTTTCCTTGCTCCGAACCGAATTTCAGAAATAGGTTGGGACGCTGCGCTTAGATAAGAAACCGGAATTTATGTTTTATTGTATATGTTATAACTTAATGATAAATGGGAAAAAAACCACTAATATACACCATTGTTCTCATTTTATTAATGCTCCTGTATTTAATAAGTACAGGATCTAAAGTCCCTGTGCTAAAGAAAGATCACTGATGTAGTTTTAAATACCGAGTTCAAAAAGGAATGCACTTTCCTTCTTTGCAGATTAGAAATTTGAAATATTGTGAAAAACACTAGGAGTATGTTCTCAGTCTTTGTACCTGGCAAAAGATTACCATCCCATATGTTTACTTTTTATTTAGCTTGCATTCAAAAAAACCTAAAAATAAACATTAAACATAACATAATGATCGGACACAAGAGAACTTAAGCATTGCTTTAAAAACTCTTTTCTCTCAAGGGCCAAGCTTCAAGCAACTGTTCTAGCAATTGCAAGCCATTGTTTTGATAATACACATGTAAACTTTGATAAAAAAATCATTAGAAATTAAGCAGACACTTTACCTTTTATTTTATGAAAAACCTTTCTAAAATTTGCGTCACATTCCTTTGCTTAATAAAAGCATGTAAACTGACCATCATGTGAGACTTTTGTCAGACTTTCGGAAAGAAAATGCATTACTATATTGTATGTGGATATGTCCCTGCGTATTGTTTCTGTGGTCTCTCTAGTGCCTTCCATAGTCTTGATCTAATGATTATTGAAAGGTCTGCACTCAAAGGACAGTCTATAACTTAAAACAAGTTAACTCAATCATTGTATACATAGCTGAACTGCATTTTTGGGAGTTTGTAGTTATACGACAAATTGGTGAGATTCTCTCTCTTTTTAAAAAAAAATCTACCAGCACTTAGCACTTAATATTATTGGCTGAATGACTGGATAAAGTAGATAATGAAAGCATCTGCTACCTCTCTTTAAGGTAGAATGTATATTTCCCATATTTAGTTCATCCTGCAAGCTCCCATTCAGATTCACACAAAGTTCTCCCTAACATTTTTGTGTATAAAATGGTGGCTGAATTGGACAGCATATCTGTAGTAAGGAACATCTAGCCAATGTGAAGTATGATAGTAAAATTCCTCATTATTTCTATAGAGCATGTGTATCGGTATACTCAACTGTTAATTTTTTTTTAAATGCTTGTTACGAATCTTTAGCCAGTTGGGCCTATGTGATTTTTTTTTTTTTTTAAATAAACAATAACCTGTGAGAGAGATTAGCTTAGCCTGGTGATTGTTAACCAGAAGCTCTGGAACCAAACTCCTTAGAATTGAACTTCAATCAATTATAAACGGCACGATCTTGTTATCAGTTGACCCTGTAATGTAGACCATATACAGTACAGCAGAATGGATTTAGGTTCAATCATGGGAAGAAATATGAGGGCTGTACATTCCAACACCCTTTTGCTAACATTCCCAAATATTCTAATATATTGCAAAGGGGCACCATATGACTTAAAACATCATGACTTCACAAACAAGACCTTTGAGTTCTGCTAAGACCCCTTGAAATAGGATTGTGTATTTTGAAGCTGAGTGTATGGAAAGACTCATTAGGTCTAATTTTGATGCTGCCCCCCCATAATAATAATTATTATGGCTTCTACTTGAGTTTTCAAAGTGTATTCCAGGCACAGTGCTAAAGAGCTAACAAGAGTGATCTCATTTAGTCATAAAAATTCTGGAGGTAGGTACTATCATTTTCCCTTTTGAGGGTAAAGTAGCAGAGAGTTGGAGAATGAAACTTACTCAAGATCACAGCTGGAAAGTAGCAAAAGTGGGAACTGAAGTTTGTTTGAGTCAAAGATGATGCCCTGAATTACTAGCACTATTCAGACCAGATCTTATAGTGTAGTATAAATCTTGGTCAGAGAAAAAGTTGAAGCACATAAATGCAACCTGGCCATTTGGAGAGCCCTCGAAATTCAAGAAGCACATACCGAGCCTGGCCTGTCTTGCTGTGTCTCCTCTTGAACCCCAGAACAACTGCTCAGTAAGCAAACCACAGGACAGAGATGCTTCATGATAAGAGGGGTGTAATTTTCTGTGTATCCAATTTTAAATCTTTGCCATTATTTTAATTCCTGTTTCCTGTGGACTCTGGCTTGCTGTATTTATAAGAACACTAAACCTGAGAGCAAACAGAATGAAGATCATGCACAAAATCTGTAAGATAAAAACAGGCACACTGTCACATCTTCACCTTTTCCTTTTTGTTCCTTCCTTTTTCCTTTTTCTTCATCTCTTATTATCTTCCAGACATCTTGCTTTCAGTTTCAATTATATGCTATATACAAATGTGCCATACTCCATGTTTTTATATGTGCAAATTATTTCATTTTTTCATAATTTTTAATATGTGCAAGGTAATTTTTCATTTTTCATCATAATTCAATTTTATTATGCATCACAGACAATGTTAGACAATATTAATCTGTGGATCAAACAGTAACAGAGAAGAAGCAGCAGAGGAACAAAGAGGGATTTCTGGAACTGTGGAAATGATGGAGATGGCGAGATCGCCTGACAACTTCCAGATTCTCATCAAAAGATTTTTTGTAATTGTCTAAAAGAATATCTCATATAAAAGGCAAACCAAAAAAGCTTACACTCTTAATAATTTTGATTATATGACAGTAAATATTACCTTATTCGATATGCCCCTCTAAAGCAATATTTATTGTCATGCCTGGAAAATGTCCTCAATGAAACTTTGCTCTCTAATCTAGTACCCTGTAAGTTAAATCTTTTAAAATAATTTCCAAAACTTCATGATGAACCCTGTTCAGAGTTAGTTGTAGAAAACCTATGGGAGTAAGCATACTTTACAGCCTTTGACCTTTCAGAACTGGATCCTTATATAGCCCTATATTGAGGCTCAGTGACACCAGCCAAGATTTTAAAGGAGATTTTAAAGGAGAGGAGGGTGGTCCTACATGGCATCAGCGGTAAGGCTGTGTCATACCTGCTTCCTTTCTCACCCATTTTGCAGGTGTTACTTACTGCAGCCTTTCTGCATTTAGCCTGTAATGCCTCCTGGAAATGAAGAGTTTTATAATATATTGCAATTATAGCACCATAATTTATTTGACCTAAATATATTACAAGCTCCAGGCACTACCGACCAGTTCCAGTAATTCCAGCACTAGGTGAATGTGGTCGTGTTTACCATATCTGCTTTATACTTTTATAGATGCTATTCTTTATATCTTTTTTATTCTCACTCTTCTATAGCAGTACTCAGATCCACTGAACCTGAGTCCAAAATATCAAAACTTCCTGACCAATATTACATCACCCTGGTGCCATGGTCTGTGTGCTTCCCAAAGTAAACATGAATTAATCTGCATAACCTTCCCATTATTGGGAAGGTTAAAGAAGACACCCAGAAACCGTGATTTTTTTTTTTTTTTTTTTTAGAATTATACCCTCTGCCTTTTAACATAAAGAACTAATTGTATTGTTTTCAAAGAAGAAATAAGGGACTTCCCTTAGCAGATTGGTATCAGCAATTATTCATGACTCATTTCATGTGGTTATCTTGGGATCACAGTGCTTCAAAAGTCACTTTCTCAGGCTACACTTCAGCTGCCAGATAACACTGTTAAGTATATGCTTGTCTGTAAGTGCTAGCTCGAAGCCTGACCCTCCCGAGGTCTGCGTAGATTTCTGTATCAATGAAAAACAGTAAATACCAAGGACTTTGGCCCTATGTTCAGACTTACTATGTTACCTGTGTGTGTTTTACTTTATAGTTGGAATCCCGTGTTGAGTATCTGTTCTGG